CTGTACAGACTCTTCTGTGCCTGGGGCTTTCTGACCCCTGCAAAGAAGAATAACATCTTGTTCTTATAACACAGGCAATCCAGACTGAAATATAGGATAGAAACAGTCAAAAGATATTATAGGAAAACTGCTAAGAACCTGCAGGCAGGATGACTAGTGTAGATTGGGAAACTGTGTGAGGACAACAGCTGGCAAAAGGAATTCTGATTCCAGACCTCATTAACCCAATAGTGGCTGAAATGAAAATGATGGCTGGGCAAATGAATGGCATATAGAGGGAAGGGATTGCTAACTTGTCAGTAATGGGCAAAAGACATTGTTCTGCCATTTACAACATGGGACTGGATGACATGCCGTCTTGGATGCAACCATTCTGTGAAAACACTGAAGCCTCAGGGATTTAGCAGATAATAACATGAGCACCATAACAATAACTATTGGTACCCTGCTGCCCAGATGTCCCTTTATAATCATGCATTTTGTACAAGTCCTCCTGGGTTGTCTAGGACTGGGACAGATTAGCAGTTAACTGCATGTACCCTCTTACTGCTTGACTCCTCTACTGATACTGCCAGAAAATATGTCCATCAGTAACTACACTAGGAACTGGACTAGACCACCAACTCATCTTACTTATAAGACACTCACCAACCATTCTATTACAAGACAGGCTGTCTCCTGTATTCACTGGATCTGAATCAGTGACTTAGATGTGAAAGCATCCTATCCCATTATTAACCGGAGTGCTCCAGACCCTCCCCATAGCTCACTGCAATGCTATTTAGAGAGGAGAACATACTTTACTATTAAGGAATAAGCAGTCAGTCAGTGATTATCTTGTCTTGGGAGAGTTTGTCTCGGAAGTACTTGGAGAGTTCTGGTAAACTAGTCTTCTGATTACTTAATCTTAGTAATATGAGTAAAAATTGCATAATTCCAGATTTTTACCAGTGAAGTGAAAAAAGTTTGTCCCACAGAACTAGACAAACAGAAATCTTTCAAAAACACAAGGTCCTGAATACAGAACAAAACAATAGCCAATTTCCCCTCTTCCTGAGAAACTGCTATGGACGAGTGGTCACTGCAGCCTTTCAAACCAGAAAAGCAGTTGCTGGAAGAGCCTAAGTAGTATACAGTACCTAGTGGACCCACATGCCCCCCACACAGGTATAACCCCACATTCTTCCTTGAGCTGGGACAAAGGAAGGCCTTGTATGCCCTGGAACCTCGAGCTCTACTGCACCCAGTGACTATAGTCCACATTTGTCAGGCTCTTTGATTCCTGGGGAAGGATATTGTACCAATTTTGCTATGGCTGGGGGCCCACAGAAGCTGGAAGGATGGGAAGAAGCAGGATTTGTCCTCCGAAGCTGAGCCTGCAGTTGTGGCTGCAGTGTGAGTATTGGTTGTTCATGAGTTAATGTTGATTCAACCTTCATGCCCTTCATGGGGTCGCAGAGCACAGCTGGCAGCCCTGTAGTCAATGACAACACAGCCTGAAGCCAGCTGTGCTGCTGCTCTGTGTATGTGGAGCACTGAGGCGATGGTCTCCTGAAGGTCTATTCAAGGATTAGGGGCAGGATGTTCTGCAGACTATTCTCATAGCTATTTTTTTTCCTATGGCCTAGCCCTCTGCTGGCTTCATCGTCCTGCAGCATGGGAGACAAAGCCACAGAATTTCTGAATGTCTCTTTTGTGGTTTTGAAGCTAATTCTTTTAATTAAGGACAAGCTTTCAAAAGCTGCAAAGTTCAAGATGAGGCAATCAATCTTTTTTTAAATTAGGCCTGCCTGCCTATCTTCTGCATGCCTTTATCCTGATGAACACACAAATGAAACCTGTCACTTTGGCCTTTTGACTTGCATCCACAAGCTGAACTGCATTAGCAAACTAGGTGCACAACTGTACATGTATCTTTGCCTCCTTTTACATTATTTCTTCAGCAGGGGTCATTGGGAAGTGAAGGCAGTGATTTGAGGGGGGAAAATTAGCTTGGAAGACAGTTTCCTGCTTGCTTAGTTACATGAACAACTTTGGTCCATATTCACTAAACTATCACAAGCATGGGCCTGAGGACCATGATTGCAGACTGAACTTAAACTATTTAAAGTTATTTGTAGAGCTGGTTTGGAATCCTCCCATCCCCCTCATTTTCATCCAACTTTTTAGAATGTTTTGCGTTTAAACTCCTCTCCCCCTCCCCCCCATAATCTTTCTGGTTTTATGATGGCAAACTTTTTTTTTAATTTGAAAACTTTAAACTATGGGCAGAAAGCAAACACTGGAAAAATCTTTCATTTTGAAGAAAAAAAGGTTTTAGACTTCTTTTGATTGGATTTCTACCAGCCCTGTTCATGTGCAATTCAAGTCAAATATTTCATGCAGTTTTACCACCGAACGAGAATCTATTCTCTGAGATTTTGACCACCATGCTAATTGTTTTTCTGGGGGTGAAGTAACTGGCTCTCCAGGATATGAGAACTTTCCCAATTAAAGTTTTTTGGCTTTGATAAATCAACATTTTTATCACATGTACACAATTTTCATCTTTTTCCTATGTTGTGAGGTGGCAGTCTTCACTCACTACTCCTGCCAAGCAGGTGGGTAGGAGTGACACCCCATGGAGAGGCATCAACTGGCCACAGGCTGAGTTTGTGGTTTGGCCATCTTCTAATTACATAACAAAACAGGAACAAAATATTGTTATGATTCTCATTACAACCATTATAATTAAAAACAAATTATTGAGACGTGTTTGGCTGAGCTTTGCTTTGTGCGTGATCCTTTGTGCAAAAGTTGGGAGGGGAAACAAAATGGGCTTGACAGAATAGTACAAAGGCTGTTCTAAAAGTCCACTCAACTCCTCTGAAGTGGGTTTTACACATGAAAGCTCATGTTAGTCTCTCTAAGGTGCAACAGAACTGCTTGTTTCTAAAAAGTATGGGGACTCCAGTTGCCCCTTTGCACTAGGACTCTTCTGCTGGCCTCAGACAGCGGTTGGCTTATGTGAGGGATTTGACAGCGGAATGGGGAAGAAGCCTGCATTATTGCTATCCGTGCTGTACTTGCTATTATGGATATACAGAGGATTTGACGCTGAAGGGCTGCTGGTCTAGCAACTTTCACAAGCATGGAATTCTATTCAAAAGCTATTCTTAAATTTCTTTACTGGGACTAACTCCCAGTACCGCTAGAAAATGGCACATTGTACATATGTGGTTTAGCTCAAGGATGAATTTCAACAGGATTACAGCATGGGCTTCTGTGATTTGCAAGGTCACAAATTTTAATTACTTCTATACCGCTGTAACACTTTTTGCTGTAATTTTAGAATCAAGGCCTATGAGCATGCAGGAATCTAATGCAGAACAATTCCAGAAAATACATACATCTTCTAGAGGGATGGAGATGATGTTTGGAGGGAACAGGGTGGAGAAAATGAAGGAATCTTGCTGGGGGAAGGAGTAGGAAAAAAGTCTGAGGGATGAAGAATCCACTTTGAAGGGGAGAACACAAAGGAATGTGGGGATGAGAAATTGATAGATATTCTGTGCATTATGACCGGGACCCCCAAAGGTCTAACAGATATGGATCATATATGTAGATTAGTGCTATGTACTTGAACTGTGAATCTCTTGAACAATTAGCTGAATGCTAAGATTATTTACAAAATAACTAAACAGTATTTATTCAAACACAGAAGCAAGTACATATTATAGCTAGTTTGTTATGGCCACAAGTTTCCCATGATGGTTTTTTTTTTATCCTCAGTCTTGTTTTCTTAAACAGTCATTTAGTAGCTTTAATAAGGTGAGTTTTTTTTTTTTTTTTACAGTTGTCCATTTCTTTTGGAAGGCCACTGTTGGAAGCACCCATCCCCATTTAAAAAAAAAAAAAAAATCTGGTTGTTTTGGATGATGGTGGTTGACCATATAATCAGCAATTTTCAGTCAATACCTGTTGGTTTTTGAATTTTCTTTAGTGTCCTAGCCTAGTATGTTTTCTCTAGATTTTACTAGATATGGCAAATCAGCTTTTATGGCTCTCATTCTGTTCTGTTGCAGCAGGGCCCAATAAAAAAAATTACCAAAAATAATTCTTACTACTGCTATTTGTAGTCCCACTGAGCACACTATTCATATTGTGGAGTGCACAGTGTTTTCAGACCCGAAATGTGGAGTAGCTGCAATTCTCTGGAGTTTCTCTCTATTTACATCTATATAATTGAGAGCAGAGTTTGCACCAGTACTCATTCTCTCTCTCTCTCTCTCTTCCCTCCCCCCCCCAACCTCGGGGCGGGGAAGGCTCATAGATGTCCTACCAGTTTAGCTAGCCTTCAAGTTTCTTTAACTTTATTAAGCAAAGAAAAGTAGAGTCTTAGTCAAGCATCCTGGACCCCTGTATCCAGCTGGATTCCCACTGATGGCTACACTAGATTTAGGGCCTTAAAGTTTTTATTAAGATTTTTCAGCCAACGAGTAAAAAAATAAAATGTAACATCCTGAACTCTGATTAATTTCAACTGAGTCATTCTGTAGCCACTTTTTTTCATTCCGTAACTGTAAAAAATGGTATGGAATTTCTGAAAGCCTGGGCAGCTTAATGTCAACCTACCCCTAGATTACAAATCAGCAATTTGCAGGAAAGAGCTTATATTTGGATTTGGTTGAGGATGTTAAATATCTGGAAAGAAGGCAAATATATCTAAAGAAAATTTGAGATTTTAAAAGTAACAATTGTAATTGCCTTACACTAGGGCAAATCTCTTAGACTTCAATGAAAGTTTTGCCCAAGTAAGGATTGCAGGATTTGACCTTAAATAAAGGGACCTTTAAATAATGGCACAGTTCTGTTAACACAATTGTTTTCTTAGTAGGAATCTATTTGCTCTTTACTGGACTGATCTCTTATCTGCTGAAAGACGTTAAATATAATATTTGTACAACTGTACATGACTGCAAGGCATGCCTTGAAAGCAGTTTTGAAAAAAAATTACTTACAGAGATTGGAATAATTGCTGCCTATTCCAATGTGGATGGAGGTTCCATAGATGAGAGGAAGATGTAAGAAAAGAACTAAGGAGGGAAATGGGAAAAAAAGTCCTTAATAGCAGTTTTGTTTTGGAGCCAGATGTCATTTGATGACACATGTTGTTGCTAAAGTGCACCCACTCTTTCAGTGACAGAGCTGTATATATCAAATTATGAATCCACAACAGATGCAGTTTGAATGTGTAAATAACATGAGGAGTTGCTTCAAATTTCCTAGGACTCAGTCTATTTTAGGAAGTGCTATTATACAAGACTTCAATGCCTCAAGGATTCTAAAAAGCCATGTTTAAACAACAATGTCATGTAAATAGGCTAATTATTACTGTTAAGCATTACATCAATTACAGAAATGGGCACCTATCCTGGCAAGGCAAAATAATGTTTTCCTAACTTAAGTACATCTTAAACTTGGAGACATGCTCTAGTGGGAATATTTCCCCAATCTTCTAAATGTTAAACTTGCACTTTAAAGACTTAGCTTTAAATAACATAAGTGTACATTTTATATGGAAAAACAATCTCCACAAATCAAGTAGCCTAAATCATAAGACACTGAAGTATTTAGAGGGTTAGATATTAAACATAAATTACTGGATTTCTAAGATGCACCTACTGCTCTTTACTACAGTGCTAAATTTATAAAACCAGCTGAGGGGGTTAGTATGTATATAGTTGTAGTCTTGCCCACTTATCAGATAAACTGAGAAACAGCAGAATCTGCATTGCCCTGTACAGGTGCTGAACCAAATGCAGCAGCAACCCTCTTTAATAGGTGTAGGGTGTCTTTTGTTTTTGGGGTTTTTTTTGGAGGGGTAGGTAACAGATCTCAAAGTTCTCCCCATCAAACCTCTGTCTTGTTGCCATTCTGCTTCTCATAGGAGCTGGAACTAGGGGTGCAGGGCCGTGCTGCAGCACCCCTACTGGAAGTGTTACGTACAGGGTTAATAGTTGGGCTCAACAGCTCTCAGCACCCCCCCACGACAAAAACTGTTTCTGTGCCCCTGCTTCGCATGGTGCCCTGCCAAGGAGCAGCAGGAGCCTTACCCTGCGGTGGCCTCCCCCCCCGGCGCTTATTCCGCTTGCCCCAAACACGCCCCCGCCTTCCCTAACCCTTACACAAGCGCTGTGGGGCTGGAGCCGTCTGGGGGCTCTCACCTGGGCCGGGGCGGGGCCACGCTGGCCCCTAGGCGCCAGGCTGTCACCGGCAGGGCGGTGCCTCCCCTGTCCCCGCAGAGCTGGGGCGAGGAGCAGCCCCAGGGCACACGCCTCCCCTCCCCGCTTACCGGAGCACACACAGGCAGCCGCGCTCTCCATGCGCCGCGGCGGCAGCTGGCGGGGCTCCCAGGCGGCTCATGGGCGGCGGGGGAAGAGGCGAGCGCGGCTCCTAGGCGCTGACGTTCCCCGCCGCCTTCTCCGCTCGGGCGGGCCGGAGCAGCAGCAGCACCGGGCGGGACCAGGCGCCCATGGAGTCCGGGGGGGGGACGGGACTGACCTCAGCCCGGCAGGGGCCAGCAGGCGGCGGGTCCCTCCCAATGGCCGGGGGCCATCGCTGTCATCCCGCGTGCGGGGGCAGGGGGCGGCGCCAGGCAGCGGGGAGCCGCGGTCCTGCCGGGCGGCCAGCGCAGCTCTCCGCAGTGCCCGGGCAGCCGCCGCTGCGGAGGGTGGGCGTGGAGCGGGGCCGCCCCGCGCTCTTCCTCGCCGAAGGTCGCACGGGACCGCGGCGGGCAGCAGAGCGAAGATCTGCTGGACCGGTCCGGGCGCTGGCTCTGGGCTGCCCGCCCTCCAGCTGATCCTCCGCGGTGCGGGGCGCCGCTCGGAGTTTGGTCCCGGGCTTTTGGGGTCAGAATCGCCTCCTCCCGGCACCAGTGCTTATTTTTTGCCTCTTCCTCTTTTCTTCTCCCCTCCCACCCCCATGAGGATGAAACTGACCTTTGGGCTAGGGCAGGGATCACCAAGCAGTAGACTGGGATCTACCAGTAGATCTTGGAGCATCTGACAGGTGATCCTGACTGGTTTGGCTGGGAGGCTATCGACCTCTGGCACTTCAGCTGCCCTCCTACCCCTGCCCTGCTGCCCCTGCCCAGAGCCTCAGAGCTGCCCTTGGGAGCTTCCTCCTTGCTGTGCAGAGTGGGGAGACAGGCAGGGGGGCACTGATGTCTCTGTCCCCCTCTCCTGTACCCCATCTTCACAGAGTGAGGAGGGCGGGGCCTCAGCAAAGGGGTGGAGCAGGGGTATTTGGGTTTGAGGTAGATCCTGGATTGACTTAAATTCAAAAACAGATCTTGTGCTTAAAAAGGTTGGAGACAACTGGGTTAGGGGTTACTTTGAGAACATCATTGGTCTCCATGTTTCCCTCCAGCTCGCTCTGCCACTTTTGGGCCAGGAGGAGAGGATTTGCAAACCAGAGCTTTTGAAATAATTGCTCAGATCATATGCTGAACACACAGCTTGTGGCACTTGTGGCCGAGAGAGGTGAAGGCTAACAATATAGCTGGGTTCAAAAAAGAACTAGGCACATTCATGAAGGATAGGTTCATTAACAGCAGTTAGCCAAGAACAGTGAGGGGCAACCTAGGCTAGTGAGTTGGCCACTGACCCGCTCCATCTCAGTTGGATTGCAAGAGTGTCATAACCAAGACAGTCTCCTGGGATAGGGTTGTTTTGTTAACTGTGCTTGGGTACCTAGAATTTGCCAGAGGTGGGGTGGGGTACCAGTTGAACTTGGATCAGATGCAGAGGGAGCTCTCACAGTCCATGTCGTGTGCAGTCAGCGCACATCACTTCACGTGCTCTTGCTTCACGCGTGTTTCATCTTGGTAACATGGTAGGAAAAAACTATGCAGACAGAAACCCGCAGAATTTGGCAACCCTGCACATGAGCAACAGTAAACAAAATGTCTTGGCCACACACAGAACTCCACTGGGTCACATGTGGCCTGCAGGTCATAGGTTGCCCACCACTGGCCAAGATAGTTGGGCATGCAACCCAATGTTCCAGATGTCTTTAAACTCCAACTGCTATATAACCATTCAGGATTCTAGTTGTTAATAACATAAGGATGGCCATACTGGTCCCAACTTTGGGAATGTTAAGATCTTGTTTACTGGTGGGTACTGCTCTAGGTTTCTTTTTACCTAAGTGATCAATGATATATTAAGGTCTGTTGAACTTTAGGTTGACTCATGGTCCTTGGAAGTATATTTGGTTCTTTATCATTGGTGACTTGCCTTGGTGACTCATTTTGTGCAATCCCCAGAAATCCTGGCGGTGAGATGATGAATAGCCTCTACTCACTGATTTCTGAAGGTGTTCAGGGCTATCAGCACCACATAGGACAGGGCCCTCTAAAAACAGTGCTGTCTCTTTTGTGTTATGTTTGTACTGTACCTAGCACAGTAACTCTGTAAGTCCCCAATGTAATACACTTACCCGCTCATTCTAAAATTGAACCCAGAAAATAGTCAGTCTCTAGCTTATAACATCTTCCTCAGTCTATGCTGTCTAGAGCAGTGTTTCTCAACCTTTTTTTTTTTAATAAAGTACCTCCTTTAAAATAAAAAAGCACCCCTAGTACCTACAATTTTCAGGCACAAAATGTTTTCCTACCATTGTAACACATTTGTTTAAACAACTTAATTGTGGTCAGGCGGGCAATGAAATTCTTGGGTGTAAAAAGTACAAAAATAATAAAACACTGTAAAACTTAAAACAAAAATTCAGTTTTCTCCAAATTTCAGTTGTGTTGATGTACCCGCCCCCCCGCACCCCTAGTACCTACAATTTTCAGGCACAAAATGTTTTCCTACCATTGTAACACATTTGTTTAAACAACTTAATTGTGGTCAGGCGGGCAATGAAATTCTTGGGTGTAAAAAGTACAAAAATAATAAAACACTGTAAAACTTAAAACAAAAATTCAGTTTTCTCCAAATTTCAGTTGTGTTGATGTACCCGCCCCCCCCCACAACTTCTCTTGAGTATTCATAAGGGTACTCATACCACTGGTTGAGAAACACACTGGTCTAGAGATTTGTTTCCTGTGCTGGTGGAAAACAGAGGTGAAATAAGCCTGTTCACCTCCATGTGCTACACTCATAAAAGAATGGCCAGCTGCAGGCAGTGCTCTGAATGTTTCTGACCAAGGCATGAATGAACCTCCTCCCCCACAGGAGCCTAAACTGCCATCCCAAATGGTCCCCACTCTGCTGGGCCTGAGCCAGCACGTACAGCCCCTGGGCAGCATGGCCACCATGTACCCAGGCTACAGCCCTGGGGCTTAAGCAGCCAGACACTATGGTCCCTCCCTGCACTCCCAGCCCTGAGCTATCCCTGCATTGAGTCCTGCACTCCCACATCCCCCCGCTCACACTCCTGCACCCCCCCACAACCCTGAACTCTGCACGTTCAATCCCACCCTTGAATTTTTTATAGGTACTGTCATATCGCAACTCCCTGCCTGAACCTCACCAGGGAGTGGCGGTTGAAATACAACAGTGCCTAGGGTTACCATGTAGTCATAAAAAAAATACCGGACACGCTTGATGGGGGAGGGACTGGCCGGGAGGGGAGCAGTGCTGGGCAAGGGGGGCTGGGAAAGA